TTCGATATATCGATACGAATATCGTTGCACCCCTAATTGGCACATATTCATTTTGCCAAGCCATCCAATAATAATTGACTTTTTCCTTTTCAAAAATTTATTCTGTAGCAACTTTGTTGATATTGTGATTCTTCCAAAATCCTATGTGTCCATGTCCACGCCCACTGGGAATGCTGTTAAACTGGGTTTCCATTTTTTGATAACAGTTCTACAACACCTGATGGAGCTACATGCATCCCATACATCTTTTCAAACCCAGAGTTGTACTCATAATAATACTGTAGTACGACTGCTGTCACACTTCTTCAATCTAAGCACATCTGTATGGTGCCAGCATCATCCATAGGACATAATGTCAATGTGAGACCATACCTGTACTTTCCTTGTTGCAAACTGCCTTGAACCTTATGTAACACATACATTTATACCATGAGAAGCCAACCAACGTTCAGTCAGCGCTATCACCCAACAGTAAGAACCCTACGTAATAGAACAGTCTGAAAGTTCAAATTTATATGAATCTTATGACCTTAAATATTGAGTTTGCATTGCAGATATTTTGACTTGCCACAGTAGGTCTGCCATTGAGTTACCTACTTAAGTAGGTAAGTAGAATAAGCAGAGTCTCACAGATATATCAGTAGGTACATATATAATAGCTAATATTAGCTATTTGATATGATTGCCACATCAATAGTTAATCTACTGATGTCCCTCTCTGGCCATTTACAGTTTGTTCAATTATATATCCACAGATCACAACCTACTTCAGTTAACTCCGGTGTACCCCAAGGCTCTGTCCTGGGGCCTTTGCTTTTTTATTATTTATCTCCTACTTCTAGGTAATATATTCAGGAAATATAACATTCAATTTCACTATTACGTAGATGACACCCAGCTCTATTTCTCTTCTGAACCCACAGCTACTCTCCCATTAACATCCATTTCTGATCGTTTAAGTAAAATCAAAGTTTGTTTTACTCATAACTTTCATAAAACAGCCAAACGCTTTTCATTATTTATTATTAACTCTGTTGTCACACCTTCTCCTCAGGTTAATAGTTTTGGTGCCAACCTCGACAGTACCCTCTCCTTCACCACTATCACTCTGCTTATTTTCATCTTCGCAATATTAGTCGCCTTCATCCTTCAATTACTCCAAACAGTACCGCCATACTTGTCAATGCTCTTGTCACATCTCGTTGATGTTATTATAATTCTTTTCTGTACAGTCTTCCTCATAAATCTCTCCATAAACTGCTGTTACTTCAGAATTCAGCTGCTCGTATTATATCCAGAACCAGAAGACCTGTTGTTAAACAACTCCATGTTATCCGTATTCATCTGATCTTCTCCATACATACTTACCCTCTCGTACACTCTGCTCCTCTTCAGCGTCTCTTTTGTCTGTTCCATCTGCTCACCTGACTATTATGGGACTAAGAGTCTTTAGTTGTTCTGGCCCAAGACTTTGGAAGGATTTCCACCAGATCTCCGGACCACGAACTCTCTTTCTACTTTAAATTTTGTCTTTAAAAACCCATCTGTTCACAACAGCATACCCTTCATTATTACTTGTCTTACTCTATTGTTAGGTTGGTTGGTTTTATAGTTGTGATTTTATTTATTTATTTATTTGTTTTTATTTTGCTGTACTAATGTAAGGTGAGCTTGAGGGTCTTTAAAAGCACCTATTATTATTACTACTGCTGGGATTTATGACAGCTGATTCAATTTTTTAAAATTAAGGAGACAGGATCAAAGAGACAGGAGAAGCAGTCTTATACCTTGTTATGAGTGTTGGGGTTGCTGTAATTTGTCCACCAGAGGCCGCTGTGCAATTTCCCACGTGGCAACACGATGACCAGCTGATCCGAGCAATGCTAGAAAGTGTGTAAATGAGTAATTTACAAGTTCTTTGTGACAAAAACAAAACACTTACACGTCCTTAAAATGTCTGTCTGGCTCTACTAGTGAGCCATCACAGTGAACCACTATTCACACAAGCAGGACCTTCCTGTTTCCATGAGGGAATGCAGACATTGTTGCTCTTTGCTCTTTGATCTAGAGTTCCAATGCTAAAGCTTGAGCATGATTTTATAAAACTTTTTGTTTTCTGTGAGCATTAACATAATAAAACTGTCTTTCCTCCTCACACTGATGCAGACCGTTTGAGCACCACACAACATCAGAGGACCATTGCCATTAAGTTGACGACTGCGACCGTAGCTGGTCGGATGCTCCCAAACACACCCTCACATTGATCACCGTCAGTGGGCTCAGACGGCTCAGGGGTGTAGCAGAACCTGCTGTCTGCTGTTTGCTTAGACTTAAAAGCTGCTAAAAGCTGGGATCAATCGGGCGGGAGAATCAATCAGGATCATCCATGTTTATACGACTCAGGGGGATTACCTCACTGTTACTGGAATGGCCTCACAAGAATGGCTGCCCATTAGAACAGTGGGACTAAACACTGCCCTGCTGTTTACATAAAACGTAATGTTGGCCCGGCCTTGACTCTGTGTGCCAGAGACAATTAGAACTCTATACAGCCTGTAATCCACAGCCGGGCGCAAGCTAATCAAATTCAGACATAGCTGGGCCCCTGAAAACAATGAGGGATGAGATTACGATGACTGTGTGTGAAGATAGAAAATTAATAAGCTTAATACAAAACACGTGCTAGGGTGACCAAGAGTCAGAGAGCACAGGTTCAGATGGACGATTTTAAACTGTTCTACATTTTGGCACTTTGAGCTGGCTGACAAATGTCATTTGAATTGAAATGGTGCAGGTAAGGAACAGGTAGATCATACCGTGTGCCAGAAAATATACAATTTAATGTATTTATAATAATGCACATGTCTGTGTCTTTTTTAGGTGTCCTTTCATGAGAGTTTAAAACAAAATCTACTAGGATCTAATTGCCAGTTGATCATAAAACACTACTACTGCTACTGGAGCAAGAAAGGAAGGGATGCTTTCATGGAGGAAAAATTAGTTTGTGAAAGATGAAAAGAAGTTTGAGGGGAAGTTTAAATACTTGCATACTTCCAGTGCTTTTGAGTGCATGAGAACCTACAAGTACCCAGATGCTGTAACAGTCAAAAAAATCAAAAAATCTTAGCTATATAGAAGAAAGCAAGAGCCTATCAAACAACTATCAGCCACTAGGCATGATAATCATGATTAAACCTAATGATC